ATATTATAACCAAACAGAAATTTTTTTTCACAGGTATAGGGGTGAAATTAGCCGAAATTATGTTGTTGTTGTTGTTTATGTTGTTACTGTTTGATCTTTCCTGGAGATAAATAAAAATCTTTGTGTGTTTCTTTGACTGAAATTAACACTAGAGTGTACAGTATTTCAAAATGTGAGGAAAGGAGAATGATACTCAGCAGAGCTTTGTGTGTGCTTTTACAAGTGTGTGGGTGGTTGGTACTTCCCATGGAAGTTGATGCATTCTTGAGGTACTTGAAACAGAAAGAGGGTTAGTGTTGCGTAATCCCAGACCCCAGGGGACAAATGCTTGATGCCGGTCACACATGGGGTGTATTAACTGGTTTCTTGGATCGGTTTTGTATTGGTAAATTTACCTCAGATTACGGACCACAGTAAGCTAAGTCGGGATGTGCAGTATTTCTGCCCCCCCCCCCGCGTCTCTCCAGAGTGAAGAGACAGCATAGCTGGCTCGCATGCTGGTCATTTGAGGGAAATACCTTACTGCTGTTGCATCTCTGTTCCTCAGCAGTACAACTTCTTATACTATGCCTGAGACTGCTCTTAGTCTAATTGCTATCCTAACAACGTTCCTGGCGTGGTGTGACATTCAGGAACAATAGTCGCAGCTAGTGAAGCGTGTTGGGTCATTGCGATGTGCAAGCCCAACCACCATATCAAGGTAGTAGCTATCGTTCTCAATGGCATCCACTCCTTGTGACTTATAATATTCAATAAGACGTTATTGTTCTTCAATATTACTGTTCTTTTCACCTCATATCTCTGTTGGCTGTCTATATTTTGCATTCCCTTTTTAATCCCTTCTCTTGCTCTTTGTGTGCTACATGGAGTGTAGCGACTAGAAGTGCTGCACATCAGTGAAAAGTTCTGCATTGAAACCAGTCAGTCAGTATTTCATGGAGCAATGGAATGGAGGTGTTCAAGAGCAAGAATTGCTCACTTGGCGAAGACTGAAAATTCCATGGATTTGGAAGATCGTACAATAAAGTGAATGCATCTGCACGATTAACAGCGATCTTCATACATATCATACCAAAAGTTGCAAGCCAGCCAAGCAGTCTACGTGGTTGACTCAAGCCAACTGTCGAACACTCCATAGATTGATATCAGGGTTTGAAGACTCCTAGCTAACTCTTTTAAGTCACCATTAGTTGTCGAGCAAGGTTGTGATTCGGCACGCACAGCATGTGTTCTAGCCATCTCTATCGATCTATCGTACATGTCTGACTAACGGAGTTTCAGTTTAGAACAGTTCGAGTTGCACATACTATTTGGAGACCAAATTACTATTGAAAATAAAAATTAAATAGGATTGCTCAAATTAGAGAAAGAAAGTTCAGGATTTTGTGTTTGTATGTGTGTTTGCAAAATTAAATATACACAGGTAACTATACTACGTTTCTGTATCGGTTTTCAGCATAATTGGGCTAGCCAATCACCATTGTACATTATCCAGAGTTAGATTCCCGCCAGCCTACTTGATCCTAAACCTCACCTAGCCATTTATCAGCCAAAACAAAGAGTGTGGGTTAAGCTTGAGGTTTGTAGGCCAATCAGTCCCTGGGACCCAACTTAGTGGCCTAAGAGTTCCAACTTATTACAATTCGCGATATATCTATATATATATATATATATAGATATACGGCACAGACGCTAGCCAGTGTCATCTGAGGCCAGCTGTCCTCCTCCCTGACCGGTGAACAGTCAGAAATTAGGACGACACAGCTGTCCAGTACCCCCTGCTGATTCTCCACCAGTTCTCCAACTGATGTCAGTCAGTGATCACATCTGTAACCAATAGAATTCGTGCGTCGGTGACACAGTGGTTAGGACTCTCACCGACTATGCACATGGTCCGGGGTTCGAGCCCACGCCGACGCACACCTGATATCTATGGTCGGCCTGTGAAATCTGGGCTACCGATATCCATGCTGAAAATTCCATACTTGTACCAAAAGTAGGGTGTGGAATCAAGCTGTAATCAAAAATAAAATCATTAAGATCATCACATTTTACCACAATCACCTCGAGTAATTCTCCGAATATCGTGTAAATCGCTGAATGATGGATAACAGGCGGCTCTCTCTCTCTCTGTTTGTAATCACACTCAGCTGTCTATTTAGGTCACCTCTTATCAGTCCGAATCGCATTATAATAAATGTGATCAAAGGAGAGAAGAGTAGACTGTTATTTGATGGTTAGACGAGGATCTGAGATAGTCTTGTGGCCAAGCAAACTGTGGCTATTGATATAAGAGGTGATTTGTGTTTGTGAAGGTGAGGAAATTAAAATCTATTTTGATTTGGTGGGATTCGAACCCATAAGGACTGACGGACTAGTAATTCACACCGTTAGGCTTTAACAAGCTAGTTACACTACTAACTTACAAATGAGTAGTAAGTTTTGAAAACAGTAATAATTTGGTTCAGTGGTTCAATTTTCGAATGCTAGCTGACGACCAACGCAAGTGGCTAGGAATTCGATCCCCAACCGCCAAGTTACTGATAAACTACGCCTAACCCTTAATAAGGCATGTAAAAAAGGGAGGTTGGACGTGCGGCTAGCGACTTCATCCCGTAAACAAAAACAACACCGCTACTAGAAGAAGCCCTATATTCTGCTCACGATTGCCCTATTTTGCCTCTTCCTTGTGTATTTACCAGTTTAACTGAGAGAGTGGAGCTAGTTGCATAGGGCGTACGATCAGCCAAGTTTATCGTCGAATGTCTGAACAGCTCCCATCTTGGTTTGTTAAAAGTTCGAATAAAGCTATACACAGCTCAATACTAGCTCATCTCGTTGATACTGACTGGATATCGAATCGACACTAATAAAACTTTTAAAGATATTTGTCAACCGCATATCACCGAACCTCTCGCATAGCGCTTCTTTTACATATAGCAGAGGCAATCGGAATACATCTAAACAAGCCAAATCTTTGTGTTCAAAAGAAATGTGTACAGGCCCTTTCTTTGCCATGGCTGACTAAATAATATGTTTTAAGTTTTTAAAAAACAGAACTGTAACTATCTTTTGACTTTTTAATTTTTAAAATTCTAGCTAATTCTATGAACTTGTTTGTATTTTAGGTAATTCATTTGAGTCATCATCCTATTCTCCTTGTTAGTTTTCATTGCTATTTTACGAACTTCTTGATTATGTAATCACTTATTGCCAACGCCTAAGAATCAACTAATCTTGAATTCTGTAATCAATTTTAAGCCCTCTTTTAAAAATTAGCTATCTTGTTACTAACATCTATTAGTTAATTTATGTTTTGGTGACGTTAAGCTTTTGATTTCGCCCCACATCGCCTTTATCTAAAACTGATGGACTAAAATAACAACTTCATTGGTAAAACATTTCGATGTAAAGAAACTATATAATAGATTAGAGTCAGCCGATGATGAGGAACTAATTGAAAAGGAATGCATGATTTCTTCGTTCAGTCTGTTTTTTTCTTTCTAAATTAAAGTTCACCTTGTTAATACTTAGCTTGCAATTAATAGTGTTCTCTGAGCTGGTTGGTTTGGTTGCGGAGCTTTCGTCATCCCCCTTCTGGACAACATCTCCCTTCAGCGCAATATTTAGCATAAAGTGAAATGATTTAAATTTCTTCATGAGTGACAGAATTGCGTCTCTCGGTAACCATCTTTACATATGTATGGATAATTTTCTATGGACTCGGATTTTAAACTTTCTGGTCACATGAATTACTTTTTATTAGTTGGTATATTTGGTCTATATTAACGTGTTTGTTAATTGCATACTCGTTTGAGTACCAGGCTTCTAGGAATTCCCTGGCACTTTTTAATAATAATAATAATTTGCTTTATTCCAAAACAGTACTTGTGATACAGAATGGAATTCTCACCATTTCACTACAGTATTGCATCCAGTTAGTACATTATCAATAAATAAAATTCAATATAGATTAAGGAAATCTCATATTGGCATATCGGTTGTTGTTTCCTCTGTCTAAAATTTCGACATTATCCCAATCAAATTGATGTCCATAATTGTCTATATGCATTGATATGAAAGAATATATATATATATATATATATATATATATATATATCGTGTCTTTTCACAGCTGATTTGTGTTCGTGGATTCTAATTCGAAGCGGACGCCCACTTTGGCCGATGTAATGTCTCTTACAGTTCATACAATTCATTTTGTAAACAGCATTAACTTTATCTCCTTTTCCTGTTGGATCTTACGGTTCGCACAATATCGAATGAAGTGTTTTCGCTGGCTGCCTTGTGTGCTATATATATATATATATATATATATATATATAGCTGTTATTTCAGAGATATTTTTATGTATATTAGGATGAATTTTCTTGTGTTCTTTGATGATAGTTCCTTATTGGTGTTATGATTCGATTTTAAACACTTTTTGATAAAATTTTGTGGATAACCATTCTTTTTGGAGACCGTTAGTAGGTATTTTTCTTCCATTCTTTTCAACTCTGGAGTGCTACAGTGTGTTTGAATTCTTTTAAACAATGTCTGCACACAGTTTCTATTGTGAGTAATTGGATTATTCCTAGTATAGTTGAGTATTTGATCTGTGCAAGTGCGTTGATGTTCTATATACTTGGGTTTCTAAATTTCCTGGGCGATCCCATTGGTGTTCCTTTTATCTGTTCATATATTTGAATATTGAACTGGAATTATGTTGTAAGACATAATTATATGAGTTCTATTCACGTTGAACACTGGGTTTTTTATATTTTCATCCCTGTAGAGTAATTATTGCATAGTTTCCGTTGCTAGTTTTGCACTAGTTGAAGTATGTAATGCTGTGACATCAAAGGACACCATTATTTCATTGTCTTCTACTTGAATGTTATTATTATTATTTCAAAATAATTAGCTTTCTTCATAAATCCAGTTTACTGATATTTAATATGTTCTATGCACTGGCCTCACTTATTTTTTTCTCTGTGCAGTTCATCACTTAAAGACTATCCACTTGCTCTGGGGAATCTTATTCATATTACTGCAGGACCCTTAGTGATATTGTCAAATTCATTTTGTCTCACTCCAATGACGAATTTATCAACTCAAGCTTTAGATGGTCTACTGAAAGCAACATTCCTCTACTATCCAGAGTTCGCTTCAAGTTTCAATCCAAATTTATGGACAGAAAAACTTCTTCTGTTCTCTAATATATTACAGGCAAGTTATTTTATTATTACTATTATTATTATTGTTCTCTTACTTTCCGAGTGGAACATGGGGCTTCAACAACACATCTCCATTTTGTTCTGTTTTCCGCCGTCCTCTTCAGCTGGGTCAACGATTGACCAAACTCTCTCATCTCCTCCTCCATGTCACCCTAGGATCACAGACCGACTCGTTGCTTCCTATTTGGATTAGACTCGAGGTTCTAGTGTCGAATGACATTTGGCGGCCTCGTGAATGTATGCCGAATCAATCCTTCTCCATTTTCTCCTACATATTTGTTGAGCGATTGGCTCTTGTCTGTTGGTTTGTTCTCAGCCAGCCAGAGTTTTTTTGTTACTAATTCTTTCTGGCCGGCTGGCCATTTGATCTTGAGTATGAAGCCGGCGAGCGATTGTGTCAGCTGTTGGTAAAAGTCGTTAACTGGCTGTTGGAAATCCTATTGGTGATGCACTGGCCATGTTTGTGACCCGCATAGCAGAAATAACCGACTTAACATTGGTGCCGGCAATCCTATTAATTCTTGTTCATTATGCTGAGGTGGGGTGCAGAAAACTTTCGAAATTGTACTCGATAGATGATAGAAAAAGATTCTTCAATATTCACTGGCTTTATGTCACCCATTTGGTCAAGGTGGTCTCTAATATCGAATTATGAATGCTTTCACTACACTATTGTTCCTAAGCACGAGAAACTGATGTCCTATAGCAACGGACAAATATAACTAGCTCCACAGGACCAGTCGAATACATAGATACAGGTGTACTTCATTTTTCATTTTTGGAGCTCATCACAGTAAAAGCTGATGAACAGATTTTAGAAAATAATATTCTTTACTTTGTAATAATCTTAGTCTTTTGAAATTTTCCTGTTCATCGATTGTATTCCTCAGGATTGAAAACTTTGCTGTTTTTTGTTTTCTTTAGTCTGTTCGCAGGTGCTTACCGAGAATATTTTTCACTGAATCGAATAATATCACTTCGTGTGAACAGTTATCACGACTTGCAAAGTATATCGCAGATGATGATGATGCCATGAATTTAGAAATTTTAGCCTCATATCTAAGCCTATTCACTACAACGATAACAAAACTGCCATCGGTTGAATTGTTGTTGACTCAATCTCCTCCCTCCTCATTGACAATATCTTCAACTGGATCGTTATTTGGACGCAGCAATTGGGAAGTTGAGAAGAAGAAAAAATTCCTCCCCATTATCTATTTTGCTTTGCCTAATTTATGCTTAGCTATTGGAAGAGCTTGGCTATGCTTAAACTGTACAAGTCAACTGATGTAAGTTGTGATTGTGTCATTGAAGTGTCGTTCAATTAAAACAAAAAAAGTGGTGTGTCTGTCATTTCAAGCGGTTGATGACAGATAAAAAGGTTTCGTCCGGTGCATCAGTCATTCAGAAAGTAGTTTCTGGTTTTCAATAGCTGTCTGAGTGACCGGTTTGTGACGAAGCCCAAGATTATAAACACAATAGAATTTGATTAGAATTTAATTGGTGGATGGTGACTTGCAGTGGAATCCAGGATGCGCATTTCGTCCTATTTAGGACTCGTCATCTGGATGTATCTGCATTTCCCAGTGAGTGATGATGTCCCCTCGGGCACTGGGTTCGAGCCTCGGTGGGAACATCATCACTCACTGAGAAATGCAGGTACATCCAGATGACGAGTCCTAAATAGGACGAAATGCGCATCCTGGATTCCACTGCAAGTCACCATCCACCAATTAAATTCTAATTAACATCGTCGAAGCATCTGCACAAGACGCCGACATGTCAACCTCAGACCGAGCACTTCGGTCCAATCAATAGACGGGAAAGTCTCAAATTCAATTAAAATAAAATCAACAGAATTTGTTTTGTTAAATTTTTTCACTTGGTGTTGGCCTGTTCTCAATTTCTGTGAAGCAAAAACCCATACATTCAAGTAATATACAACTTAGCCTCCTGGCATTCATGTCTGTGTACCACAACAGTAGACACAACTAGTGTAACTGTGAAGGAAGTCGAACATTCGGATATAGTATTCGGTTGATAATAATGTTTATCAGTATGGAATCTAGAATGTAGACTCCTCCGTCAGTCGGCTAGACGTATGTGCATCTCTTTCCCCCCCCCCAGTCAAATTAGTGAATGACAGTGTCACAATTCAGACTCAAGCTCAGAACCAGTCATCGTTTGTGACGCCAAGGCTTTATAACTTAAGGGTCCGTGTTATAAGTCGCTAATATGACAACATCTTCAGCACAGACGTCGGTATGAAGTGTGAACTTGTTTGAGTTCCTTCTCCATGAATGATATAACCGGATCTCCTGACACTCATTGTCGTGATTAGCTATTATTTTTTTATGAGTAATGATATTTCTGTTGACTTAGAACTCGACCTTTTTGCTTTGTGACTGATTTTTTATTACTTGATAAATTTGATCTATCGTAATGTGTCTGTTGATCCCTGATTTCTCTGATTAGCTGGCTTCTGAGAATTAACTTGCTGACATTTTTTTGTAATTCCACACTGTATAAAATTTCTACTTTTTTCCCAGTCAAATTGACGTTCATAATTTAATTGAATTTTAGATTTTCCCGCCGATTGATTGGACCGAAGTCCTCGGTCTCAGGTTGACGTCTGCTCAAGAAGCCGACATGTCAAGCTGAGACCGGCTTGGGTCCGCTATTCATTGGTGAGATATTTACCAGCCATGTACAGGGTCAATTCGCAGACAATGCACTTTTGAAAGATCTCATCTAGTTTACTAGCTGGTGGTTGGCCCGAAAAATAGGAGAAGGTTGGGCGTCAGATCTCTAACGATTCCGCCCTCCCGCGCCCCTTCACACCCTGTAAACTAAATCAACACTCTCGCCACTGGAACATCACTTAGCTTGAAGTTCTATTAACTACTTAGAACTCCGAAGAAATGTAAAAACGATGACTAAATTTATAATAATAATAGTGTTTTTCACTACTTTTTTTCAGAAATATTAGTGTTTTCGACTTCCTCAATTCCAAAGAAGCAGACTACAATTTATTTACAAAGAAACACTGTACAAATGATACTGTCTCCTTTTCTTATGAACTAATTCTGTTTGCCTTTAATTTTTTAAAAGGCTTGTTTGATTTGTTGCAAATCAATTATTTAAAAAATTATTTAATTAAACAAAAGACTGTTGTTGTTAATTTCATTTATTCACTGTTATATTTATCAAAATGTCTGATATATTGTTCAAGTCTTGTTTATCCACCGATTACCTCAAAATGTATATTATATGTCATACGTACTATTGGTTGTTTATGTTCGCATGGAAGTGACACTACCGAGGACAACAGCGACAACAATCACGCCTCAGAATCAAGTCAAATCATTAATCACCATGATAATAATAATAATAACTCGTTGATTTTATTACATAATTTCCTTCTTTTCATTAACTGGTTTCATCAGTACAGATGTTCATGGTCTGTATGTGGTTTAGAATTATGCTGGTGTTTAAACAACTTTCTACAATACTTCAATTTATCACTGTTCAATGATCAATTGTCAAGAGATAGCGTCAGTTGTTTTATTGACTCACTTTTGTTTAAATTGTTCACGTTAGAATTAGGCGGTCATATGAATGCTAGTAGAGAAGTATTGACTTTATTGGATACATGTATTCAAACAATCGAAAGTAATACTAGTAATAGTAATAATAACAGTTATGCATACTGGTTATTAAAAAGGATAACAAGTCAATTAAATTATCATTTAAAACCATTATTTCTTTTTTGGAAATATTTATATGACAAAAACTATTTATCTGACCATTATTATTGCGGTTATATTGAAACATTTGTATATTTGTTAAAATTTTTATCAGATTTACGCTTATTTTTTAAAGGTAACGACTACCTTGAAGAAAATTGTGATACACTTGCAAAATTGTTCTCGTTGTGTTATGATCCTATAACAGCACTGTCATCAGTGTCAAAGCCGTTATCGTTAGATGAAACTATAGCGTTAATATGCTCAGTGATTCCGTGCGATCACATATCATCGTATATCATATCGATAGTTAATCAGTTTTGATAATTGTTATATTTTATATGCGAACAATTTTGTTTCTACTGCTGTTTCTTTTGCATACATGTATTTTGTATGTTTGTTAATCAGGTTTTTTACTAAATATACAGAAAAATTAAAAGTTTTCGTTTTCTTCTCAACGTTATGATTTTTATTCACCTTTTATGATACCTAGTGGAAAATAGATCCTGTCAAAGGCATATATAAATGAAAAAGAGAAGACTTTCAGCGAAGAGATTCTTTTCGCCGGCGAATTCATTCACATATCTAGCTGAACAATCGCATTTATATATAATTAATTGTGTGTGTGTGTGTGTACATGAGGTTTGTCAAGTTTGGATAATTCATCAGGTAATAAAAGAATGATCTAATACAGAAACAAGGTTAATTAGACAACAACTAAAGTAAGATTGAGTTAGTAAGTTAGATGACTTAGGTCAGGATAGCAACAAAGGTAATTAGATGTAGAGACTAAGTAGAAGTGGAGTGGATTATAATGCCATTTAAATTAGAACTGAAATTGAGCAAATAAGTTGGATGACGTGACATAAATGACTAGAAATTGAGCGTTGTTCAAGTCAGTAACAGTGGTAGTGAGGTGTAGAAATTAAATCGGGTGGGGATAGAAAACAAGAAAGTTGAAAATGCAAAATATTACAATTGAGAAGGCAAAATAATAATAATAATGAAAATTCCATACTTGTACCAAAAATATAGTGTGGAATCAAGCTGTAATCAAAAAAATAAAAAAAGATTAGGTAGAATTTACTTGTTGGGTAATAAGATAAATTAAGTCCATTACAAGTGTAGTGATTGAACGAACTTCTTCTGTATGCAGAGTTCAGGACTTAGCAAGTGAATCGCCATTGCTTCTGCAGTTTGGAGAAGTCTGATTCTTACACCTTTAGAAGGACTACTTCTTACTCTGTAGACGACTTTGAAGTTTGTTTGGGGTGTAGCTTGGTGTCCGGATTCTATCAGATGTTCTAAGATGGAGCTGCGGGGGCATCGTTTTTCTCCCTTAGTAAGTGTTCGGTCATACGTTTGGAAAGCGAACGCTGGGTACGGCCTGGCTCCAAACGAGCAGGTGAATTGATAAATACACATTGGTGAGGCCAGCAGTGGTAGCTTATCCTTCACGTTCACATGAATCATAGGTTTTGTGGAGAAAGTTAGTCGTAGTTTCGCTGCGAAGAAATCTTCTTGAGTGAGCGCGACAGTCGATTGTTTATTGTTTTCGCAGATATATCTCCATTGAATTAAAGGTTCATGTAGAGTAGTTTTTTCGGGACGCTAAGCATGGGCGGCTTTTGTGGTCTAGGATTCATAGATTTTGCAATAAATCGTTCTGGGTAACAATTCTCTACGAGGATTCTCTTGAGATTGTCCAGTTCATCTTCTATGGTGTCCGGGTTGCAAATTCTACGAACTCTGTAGTTGAGTGAACGGATCAGGTTTCCTTTGGTGCATAGGGGTACCCAACTGTGAAAGTTAGTAAACTGTCTGTTCCACGTCAAATTTATGTAGACAGATCTTTTCAGTGTTCCATCTTGTTCTCGTCTTGTTAGGTGGACGTCAAGAAAGGATATTTTGGACTTGGACTCTTTCTCCAGCGTAAACTGAATCGCGAGGTGGCAGTTGTTAAAGGATTTCAAGATGTCGTCTAGGTTTTTCTTCATTGTTGACGATAATGAAAGTGTCGTCGACGTATCTCTTATAGATTTCGAAGGTATCGATCATTTTCTTCAGGCATGTGTTTTCGAGTTTTGCCATGAAGAAATCTGCAGGCAATGGGCCTAGTGGTGAGTTCATAGCTACACAATTCTTTTGACGATATATTTCGTTGTTGAAAGGGAACTGAACATTCCGGTTACACCTCAGTAGGCATATTCCTCAAAGCAACATTCACTACAGAGTGTTGTCCAGTTGACCATTACTACTTTCCAATAAAGCGGAAAGATAAGATCACTCAATTGGCCAACTCTATGTGTGTTCCAAGATTAATCACGAATTGACATCAGTTAGAAAACTATTAAAAATCAGCGAGTACAGGACAGGTTTTCATCCTATTCTGAAGCTCTTCAGCCGTATGTACCCATGACATCGTCGGGGATCGAACTCACGACCTTTTGATTACCATGTCAGTTCATCGACCATTCATTCACACTAGGACGGAATCCCATGATCCAATGAATTCTAACTTATGTCAATTCACGGCGTATGTGGGTTTATCAATTCACCTAGACCTGTAGAGCTAGGTATATCTGTCGCTCGTTGTGGGTGTGGTCAGAAACGGTGCAAGAGAGATAGATAGGAGTACTGCTGTGAGAAGCGTCGTAATTTCTGCCTTGGCCTCTTTGTCTATTCAGTCTGTTTATCCATCCTGTATTATTTTGAAAACATTTATTTCCTGATACGAATTTAAAACAAGCATTAAAGATTAATAAAACAGGATTTAATTCATTCATCAAATTTCGGTAGAACTCGTCATCTGAATACTCTACATACACCTCTAAAAAGACAAAAGAAACTGAAGAAGTCACTTCATCCGGAAGCGCCAAATGAAATTTTCCCAGTGGACATATATAATTATGTTAATAATTTATCTGCATTATTTCATCCTGGTTATGATGATCATAACGATTTGCCTATGAACAATATCCGGTATAATCTCACTTGTAACTCTCTACTTATTTCATTCGATATATTTTATTATTGCAATATTTTCAAGTGTTGGTTTTGTAGGGATTTGGTTTGATTGTATGGAGGATTTAATCATGAGCTGACATCAGTTAGAGAACCACTGGAAAACCTGGGAGTACTGGACAGCTGTTTCGTCCTAGTTTGGGACTCCTGGGTTCGAACCCCGGTGGGTGCGTACTGCTGAGGAGTCCCAAACTAGGACGAAACAGCTGTCCAGTACTCCCAGGTTTTCCAGTGGTTCTCTAACTGATGTCAGCTCATGATTAAATCCTCCATATTGCAATATTCTCTTATCAAAATGTTGACATTTCGCTACGTAAAGTGTTTATTCCCTTCAAAGCCTATTAACTTTATATCCCTTTATAAGATTGATGCATTTCACTTAAGGGTCTTCCACCTGAAGTTATATATATCTCCCATGTGATGTCGTCATTCAGCAGCCCCCAGTCCATCCACATCAATTTACTTTTTTACATTTTGTTTTGGTACGACAGGTTGTTGGCTGGGCCACTTGCTGAACAAAGTTTCTTATCGCCTTATCCTTGGCTGACTACCTAACTTTCAGCATCCAGGTAGCCGAAGGGGATAGATGTGATTGAACTACATAGAAGTAATCGTTGACTTGACATTAGTATTACTGAGAACGAAAGTAGTTATAAAATGAATAGGCATTGGGAGTTCTGACGTGAAGAGAGTTGCTATTATTATTATATTATTATTTCCTTTAATTCCTAGAGGAACATAGGACTTCAGCTGCACGTCTCCATTGCATTCGGTTCTCTGTTAAAGTTTTCACTTGGCTCCAAGTCTACCCACATACTTTCATCTCCTCTTCACATGACCTCCTCCATGTCGCCCTCGCAATGATGACCAACTCGCGGCTTCCCACTGGAGCGATGGCCTGGCGTGTGATGTCACTTGGTGGTTTGCCTTCTCAGAGTGTGGCCAATCCATCTCCATTTCTTCCTGCTTATTTGTTTCACAATCGTTTCCTGGTTGGTTCGCTCCCAGAGATTCCTGTTGCTGATCTCTTCTGACCATCTGATCTTGAGTATTGAGCGAACACAGCTGCTAATGAAAGTCTGTAGTTTGTTTGAGGTGCTCTTTATGACGCCACGCCAAGTCTCCGATACGTATAGTAGCACTAACTTCACATTGGAGTTGAAAATCCTCATCTTATTATATTCATGCTGAGTGCTGTTGACCTCCACACAGACTTGAGAGTAATGAAAGCTTGTCTTGCTTTCCCGATCCTTGCTCTGATATCCTCGTCAGTTCCACATGTAGCTGAAACGATGCTTTCCAGGTAGGTAAAGTAGATTGCTTCTTTCAGATTCCTTCAGTTTATGCTGATTGTTGTCAGTTGTTGTTGCTGTTGGTGTTGGCCAGGAATCTTCATCACCTCTGTTTTCTCTCTGTTCACCTGAAGTCCTCTTTTTGATGCCTCCTCTGCTAACTTGTTGCTTTTCACTTGCATAACTATCAGTGTGTGGGAAATGAGACATATCATCGGCGAAGTCCAGATCCTCTAAGTTCTCTTTTTGTGTGAGTCCATTTTATACCTATTTCCTCATTGCCTGTTGTCTGTCGCATTATCCAATCCACTGCAGTCAGGGAGATCATTGGCCACATTAGACAGCCTTGCCTCACGCCCGTCCTCACTTCGAAGGCTTCCGTAAGTTTCCCTCTGTGGATTACTTGGAATGCAGCATTGTCGTATAACTGTTGGATGAGATGTAGAATTGCCGATGGCACCCCGTAGTAGCGAAGTAGTTTCCAAATCACCTCTCGATCGACACTGCGCTGTCGAAGGCCTTTTAAAAGTCGATGAAGTTGAGATAGAGAGGTGACTGCTATTCTAAGCTCTGATGACCCGTAGCGTGGCGATTTGATCGATGAATGACTTGTTTCTCTTGAATGCAGCCTGTTCTGTTCGAAGTTTTTCATCCAGGTTGGCTTGTTTGATTCTCTTCAGGATGATTCCGCTTAGGATGGACAGGTACATAATTCCGCGCCAGTTCTTGTATTGACTTAAGAGAGTTGTTAATTGATGAAAACTTCACTGCAGCATTGAAAGGATTTACATCACCTTTCAGTTTCTGATATTAATTGGCGGGCAGTTGGATGAATGAGAACACACTCGACTAAACTGCGTTCAGCCTGCAGTTTTTTCTGCTATTCTTAGAGAGTTCAACCTTCACCGGTGAAATATATGCGAAATCTCTACTCAAACAAACTGCTGGTGATAAATGCAGTAATATGACGATAGTCTGATGTATTTTAACGTCGTTGATCTGTGATATATCATAATTGACAGTACTGATAGTCAATTGGGTGTCCTTTTTTTCATAGCATTGTATTTGAATGGTTTGCGGTGATTCCCCCCTTTCAGCGCAGATAAACTTCGTCTCA